TTTTTTTTTTAGAAATTTATTATTGCTTTGTTGAATTAATTATTTATGAGATATTTATAAACTGTAATTTTTGTGTGTACTTTTAGTAATATCCTATAGAAAGCTATCGGTTTTTTTTTTTTTTTTTTGGAACAGCTATTCAGATTTTTAATTTTAACACTTTTGTCTTGTTTTCCTTTTCTTTTCTTAGTTTCATCTTTCTGTTTTACTAATTGTTAGTGCTGATGAGAATTTATTTTTGCTAAAAATAAACAGCAAATTTTTTTTTTTTTAACGTGGTTAAATAAATAGAAAAAAGGATTGAAAAAAAAAATTTTTTTTTTTTCGGATAGCCATTGTGACTCTTAACAATTTATTGTTTTAAAATGGGAGAAAAGAAAAGAGATTAATAGTAAATTGAGATACAACAACAACAACAGTGAGACCAATTTATATTAGAAGAATACATATTTGGATTCAATTTTTTGTCTCCTCCATCTTTGAACACTGTGATAAAAAGAGGAAAAAAAGGATGTTCTTTTCTGAAGCCTGTTATTTTTCAATCGTCAATTTAACCCTATGCTCCGGCTGCTTTTTTTTTTCAGCTAAATTTTTTACATCTTTTTTTTCTTCTTTTTTTGGGTCGACAATTTTAAATCTATTAATGCCAAAAGAAAAGAAAAAAAAATTCATTGATTTTCATCGTTGTTTAGCAGATAAATTTTTCAAAAATTTCCTTTTTTTTTTTGTTTAGCTTTTGACTATTCTACAAAACGCACAGACAGACATTATAATTGTATAATGGTGACAACATACGTTTTGTTGTTGTTTTTCTTCTATCCGAAAAAAATAGCCTAGTAAAGTTTAAAAATCATTTTTTTTTCCTTCCCCCTCCCCCTCCCTCTGTTTTATCCTTCTTAAAAGTAAAAAATCTCTTGGAAAACACTAATTTATTGTCGATAAAATAAACTTTTTTTGTGTTCGTTTGTTTGTTTGTTTTCTTCTCTTAACAACTAATGCTTAATTTGAATTTTGTTTTTTTTGCTTCTTCTTCATTTTTTTCCTTTGCTTTTGCATTTGTTGTCAACAAGTAAAATTTTATTTTAAATAATCAATGATGTTCCTTTTAACGTTCCTTCACTTCACTGCAAAAAAAAAAAAAAAATTGTTTATAATTGCAGCTAAAACAAAAACAAAAAACAAAGAAGGAAGAAGGAGAAGAAGAAGAAGAAGGAAATTTTTGAATTAATGAATATTTAGTTGGTGATCATTAATTTAACAAAACAATAAACATTTTTTGCAAAAAAAATTGATGTCAAAACAACAATATTGTTGATGAGTGTAAAATTTACTAAAGTATAAATTCAATGATTGAGTAAAAGATCAAAAAATACTTTGCTGCTGTTTAATCCAGTTTTTTTTTAGTGGCATTTACACGGAGTTAACTGTTATAAAAAAATCAAAGATGACGTCGTGTTCTTCTAAAAAATTTTCCTCTTTCTTTCCTTTTTTGATGTTTTGATGTTTTGGTTCCCTTTTTTGATGTTGTTTATGTGTACATAAGAATTGTTTCAGAAAAAAAAAAAAAAAAACTTAAACAATTATTTTGCAACCAAATTATGATATCAATTATTCAACGTCAAATTATCAGTGTTTTAAAAAAAAACATTTGAAAAAGCCAATGTTTTTCCCGTTGCTCAATTTTATGACAAGATTTTATAGCTTTCTTTACACCTTTTAAGAAAATCCGCTGGGGTTTTAAAAGCATCGGAGTGCAATAGGGAAACAGCAAAAAAAGCTATAGCAAAAAATTCTAAGTTTGATTTTTGGTTTCCTGAGACTGATGATTTAGTGACCAGCATCGTCTGCTGTTTAATACAATTAATCCTTACCAGGGAAAGCTGTTTTTATTTCATCCATCCATCGTCTGCTCCACGTCAATGTGCACTTAAGAAAGGCTAATCAAAAATTGTTTTTAATCAGACGTTTAAAATGTGATCGGAAAAAACTCCAAAATTTTTACAGTTTAGAAAATTCAGATCTACAAAAACCATTTGACAAATAATCAGTTACTTTTTAATTGTTTTTATTTTAGCTAAAAAAAAAAGCACTTTCTATTGACTATTATTTTGCTTTTACAATTTTTCACCACCAAACTGTTAGTGTTGTCTCAATTAGCAGACGACTAAATGCACAATAGATACCTCCAAAAAAAAAAATTTGCATAAATTTATATCAGTAGCATTTACACACAAAAAAAAAAGAACAATTTGTTCCCTACTTTTGTTATCATTATGAATTTCTTTCTTTTTTCCTATTGCTACCACTGTTTTTAGCAAATAAAAAGAAAAAAAAAGCCTGTTGAAAAAGCAGCAAAAAAAAGGAGGAACAAGAGAAGAATTAATATGCAATAATGTGCCGGGTTGTAAATCGACAAATTTTCATCTGGCTAATTTAAAAATGAAAAAAAATAATATTCAATCTTATTTTATAAAAAAAACAGAATTCAACAACAAAAAAAAAACAACTAATATGGTATTTATTACCCAAATTACAATTGCAATCACAGTTTCAAAAGAAAACAGTGGTGAAAAAATGGTTGAAAAGGAAAAAAAAAAGCCAAACAGATGAAAAATTTGAGAAATAAAAGTTGGCATTTTGCCCAAAATTATTACACTGTTATTTGTTCACCCATTTTTGTTCTCTTTTTCAAATAGTCGTCGGTGAAAAACCGAATTTGGTGAAGCTTTTTTTGTTTTTATTTTCTCAATTACAACCTTTCTTTATAAACCGATAATTTATTTTTTCTCTCGTTTTTTTTTCTTATACAAATTTCGATTTTTTTTTTAATTTACTGCAAATATTGCATAAATCACATTAAAATTGTAGAAAAAAAGAAATAAGGAGAAGAAAAAGAGTTAAGAAATAAAAAAAAATTGCGGATATTGATTGTTCTCAATAAAATTACTGCTTTTGACAACCTAAAATTACTACGTTACAAAGAGGAAGGCAATAAGCACAAATGACAAAAAGAAAATAAAAATTTATATATCATACAACAAAAATAGTATCATTTAACGTTTGCACACCACTTTTTTTATTCCTCCTTTTTTCAAACAACTAATCTCAGTTCTAATAAATGTTTTTCTGAAATTTTAATAACTCTTTTTGTTAAAAAAAAAAAATGTTCTTTTCATAGAACTGCAACAACAAGAAGATTCTGTTTCAACGCAGTATTGAAACTGAACCTATTCTTATGAAACTGAACCTATTCTTTTTATGACCTTATAATTAGAAGAAAAAAATTTATGACATTTCTATTACACACAATTGATGTTTTAAGCTTTTTTTTTCCCCCTTTCTTTGCTTTGACAGCTATCTGTATAAGCAAGAAAAAACAAATTTTTTTTTTTCTTTTAAGGTTCTTAATGGTGACCTTTTTCTATGCCACTTAAATTAATCGAACAAAAAGAAAAACAAAAGAAAACAAAACAAAACGGAGGATTATTGAAACGGGAAAAAGAAGAAATTGAAAAAGCAGGAGAAAAAGATAGTTTTTTTTTTGTTTTATTTGAAATGTTTAAAATGTTAATTATAGATTATTCTATTGTTTATTGCTTTTATAATACCACCAATACTATAGACAACATTTAAAATAACTGCTTAGGTTATGCTGTTATTTTTTGCTGTTGTTGCTGCTGCTGCTGCTGCTGTTTCAGCGCTATGAAATACTTTTGCAACAAGTTGGATGAAGATAAAAGATTCAGATAAGCCGATGTAATTGGGTGAACAATTAGGTGAGAAGCTAAAAAAAAAAAAAGTGCTATGTCAGTTTATTCTTTTACTCCCACTTTCTTTCGGCGGCATTCAGTAAATTGGTATCTTCTTTTGGGTTTTTTTTTATCTCGCTAACTTAGTGACAATCTAAAATCAATGTGCTATGTATTTTTTAACATAATGTTTTGAACTGTTTGTCCACTCTGAATGATAAACCTATTTTCAGTTCATTCATTTCTGAAAAAAATCACTGACTGCTCCATTTGCACATCATTCAATAGTTGGCAATTTTTTTACTCTTTATTTTTTGTCTTTCTTGTCTTCTTGAATTCAATTTCAGTAACTTTATTACTGTTTATACTACAAGACCATTGAAACTGACGCAAAACATTAGGCACTTCAAAGTGGATATACTGTTGACCGGTACGATGAGACAGGAATAACAGATGTGCCAGAATAATGGTTCTATGAACAAAAGAAAACAAAAAAAAAAAAAAAAAAAGATGAAGAACTGTCAACTCTTGTTTTAATCTCATTTATAAGAACACAAAGAGAAAGAAACGAAGTAGAAGGCATAACAAATTTGATGTCATCGGTAATTTTTTCAATGACAATAACCCATTTTGAATAACAACTGATTGATGGGAACAAGCAAACAAAAAAAGGGGAAGAGAGCTTTTTTTTGGCATCAAATCTTGAACAAATAAAATTTTGTTCTTTTTAAAGAATTGCTGTACAAAAGTTTGGTGTTTCAGGCACTTCAGGTGGTTCAGTTGCTCCAGAACTTCGAGTTGTTGGTACTTCAGTTGTCGCCACTTGATCTTTGGCACCGGAAACATCTTGGCCCAGAAGTAGTTTGACAAGACTGTCGCCTTGTAACCAACCAACATTCTTTATGCGCTAAAAGTAGAACATTAAGAAATCATTAAGCATTGGTGAAATCACTTTTTTGTTGGGACTCAAAATGAGTATGAACTAAGAAGGCATAAAAAAAGTTAACAAATTTGTTGTGTCTCCTCTGTTTCAAAATCTGAAATGGGGTAGTCCAAATATCGCAACCGTATTTCTTACCTCTCTTACTTGATCAGAAAGATATTGTTGATAGACCTTCATTTTGGCATCAAATTCCTTGAGTTGTTTAATCTCATCATCGGTCAAGTCTCTTGCATATTCTCGGCCAACAAACACTTTATTGTTCTATAATTATGCACAGTAACTTGTCTTACATTTTTATTGTTGAGAAGTTCAAACAATGATTATTCAGTGAAATCAAAATCTTTTTGTTCATTCTTTCTAACTTTTATTTCTGGCACTTCATTATTAAGTTATCAATAAAAAATCTCTAGACTAAATCCTATATGACAAAAGCAACAATTAATTGCTATATATAACAGCAGCATCAGCTTTATTGTTCACTCAATACCTATGTAATTTAAAAGCAATAATGCTGATTAAAATGATTATACAATTGACATACCTGAACCATACAGCCATCAAAGTAGTACTGAGTGGTATCTACCGCTGCACAGAATGATGGTTTTTTTGGTGGATCCGGCAGCTTGATTCTGGAACTATCCCGGAACATATGAATGGCACTGGTTTGACTAAGTGCATCACCACGCCGTTGAGCAACCACTTTCAGCTCCTAAACGTCAAAAAACATAGTCCCATAGCTGTTAATAAATTTTTTTTCATTTTTTTACAGTTTTTGACATAATTATCCTCATAAAGTT